GAGCAGGACAACGATAGACCACTCAGAGTGGAGCCTGCACCCTGACCTCTTCAGAGAGGCAGCAGAGAGATTCAGCCATCCAGTGTTGGATCTGTTTGCCAGTCCAAAGAACACTCAGATTCTGAGGTTCTTCTCGTTTTCCGACACCAGGAGTAGAGAGAGCGGATGCACTTCGAGGCCACTGGCCGAAAGGACTGCTGTATGCATTCCCACCTCTTCCTTTGATACAAGCAACCATCAGGAAGATATTGCAGGAGCAAGCGGAGGTAATACTCATTGCACCGCCAAGACGGCCGTGGTTTGCCGATCTCGTAAACCTATCTACATCTCCACTGTGGAGGATTCCACATGACCAAATTTCCCTCAACCAGGGATCCCTGCTACATCCAGACCCACAGGGGCTCCAATTGACCACCTGGTGCTTGAGCGGAGTCTCCTAGAGAAAGACAACTTCTCACAAAGAGTCATTAAGACTCTCCAGGCCTCTAGAAGGCCTACAACTAACAGGATCTATGATTCCACTTGGAAAAATTATTACGGTTGGTGCAACAGGCAACAACTAGACCCATGCAACATCTCTATCCCAGATATCTTAGACTACCTAGTGGAAGGCCTGGATAGGGGGTTAGCACCCAACACAATTTGTAGATAGGTGGCTGCCCTATCAACCATTCTTACCTATGGCAACTCTGAAACTTTAGCCAGACACCCAATGGTGCGATCCTTTGTAAAGAGTGCATCTAACAGCAGGCCACCTGTGATACCCTTCCTGGGATCTACCTAAGGTACTACAGGCCATAACCTTACCTCCATTTGAGTCTGCCAGGACCTGTGACCTATAGTACCTGACCCTTAAGGTCGCCTTCTTAGTCGCTGTTACCTCAGCAAGACACATCTCAGAACTAGCAGCCCTGTCAGTGAGGGAGGACCTTTGTACGTTCCACACGGACAGGGTGATGTTACATTTGGACCCCTCCTTCGTTCCAAGGGTCAATTCCCTATTCCACAGAGCACAGGAGGTGGTGTTTCCAAACTTTTGCCTCGAACCATCCCATGAACTGGAGCGCAAGTGGCACACCTTAGACGTTTGCAGAGTTTTAAACCAGTACATCAAGCGAACGGCACCCTTCCGTAGATCGGAAGCACTGTTTGTCTCCTTCCATTCTCACACGTCGGAGGGTCACTGCATCCACAATTGGTAGATGGATTAAAAGTGTGCAGCAGAGGCATACAGGGGACAGTCCTTGACGGTCCCCAGATGAATCACTGTACATTCCACGCGCAGTGCTGCAACCTCAGCAGTATGGGCAACTCAGGCTTCGATTGAAGAAAATGTAGAGTGGCGATGTGAATGTTGCCTTCCCCTTTTATAAGACACTACAAATTACACAGATTCGCCTCTGCGGAGGCCTCCTTTGGCAGGAGAGTACTCCAGTGCATAGTATCAGAGAGTGGGAAACAGGCCCAGACAGCATCCCACCCAAGGACAGTGAGGCTTTGGTATGTCCCATTGGTGGATTCTCCACTCATCACGCTGGAGAAGGGGCGTTGGTCTTACCTGAACGCCTTTTCTCAACGTGACGATGGAGAATCCACTCCCACCCTTGAGGCTAGTCAGGTCCTGTGAGGGGAGAGAATGGAGTCAATGCAAGAAAACATAGCCAACTAGCTTTGTCCTCGTGAAGACTGGGTCAGGGAGGTCCCAGGAGAAGAGGCAGAGCAAAATTGGATGACTAGTCTGTGGGTAGAAGACAAAGTTAACCCATTGGTGGATTCTCCATCGTCATGCTGAGAAAAGGCATTCAGGTAAGACCAATGCCCCTTTTAAAGTCATTTTTTGTTTCGTTAGAATATTTAGCTTTTATACCAAAATATTTTGAATATGTATGATTTAGAAGAATTTAATAAATTTGTTCCACATAACAGATTTTGTTTTCCACAGGTTTATTATCTTTCACTATTCGCTTGTTTCATTTTATTTGCTATTTAATCACTAGATGGCAGTATTGCTGTAGCTAATGATTAGCAATCAGGTTCAGCTCTTGCTTCTTAAAGATTTCTGAAGTAGCTTATATATGTTGAAATAGTCCATTTTTTATTAATGATAGAATAATTGGAAATTATTCATAGTATTGTGAATTCTTTATATTTTTGTAAGCTGCCCAGAGTCACTGAGAGTGAGTGGGTGGCCATCCATATTTTCTTAAATAAATAAATAAATAAATATTTTCAAACATATGAAATGTTACTTTTATTTTAGGTTAAGTCAATACATTTATTGAGGTTATCAATTAATATCCTTTAAAATTATATTTATAGTTGCAGAACAGTTGTATAAATTTGACCAGTATTTCTTTAACGCAGTGATATTTATTAAATTTTTACACGAATATATTAAAATGTATGGTATCAGTTTACACAATTTATTTTCTACAAAGGATATTGTAGAACTTCCTTCTTTACATAAAGATATGTTTCATTGAAAGAAATCAGGTGTGAAAATACAGTTGTATTATTAAACCTGCAATTGTCGTTGTTGGGGAGAATATCAGCGGTAAAAATGAATGTTCTACCAAAGTTTCTTTTTTTGTTTCAAATGTTACCTATTCTAAAAAAAAATATGCAAATTTGGATGAGTGGCAAAAGGGTACTAATAAATTTATCTGGGCTGGGAAAAAACCAAGGGTAAAGTTTAAGATTTTGCAGGATGCCCGAGAAAGAGGTGGGCTTAAAGCACCTAATTTGAAATTATATTATGATGCAGCCACCTTAACTGTGATAAGTGATTGGCTTAATTTAACAAATAAAGATGTTCTTTCTATTGAAGGGTGGGATTTACTGTTATGGTTGGCATGCATATTTGATTTTTAATAAGAAAGTTGATCGGGCTTTTAAATTACATATTTTAAGGAATGCTTTTCTTCGAGTTTGGAAGAAGTATTATTATAGGTTAAATTATAAAATACCTATTTGGGGGATTCCTGGACATGTAATTGAGGGTGTTTCTAAGGGGATGAATTTTGATAAAATTTTATATAAGGAGTTATTAATTTGGTCAGGTAAAGATTGGCAGTTAAAATCTTTAGACGTATTAAGACAAGAAAACATTTTATATTCATGGTTTCATTACGCACAAATTGTGGATAGGTGGACAGTAGATAAGAAAGTTGGAATAACATTAGGAGATGAAAATCTGATCATTCAGATTAAAGATCAGAATCATGCTCATATTAAAAGAATTTATGATGAGTTAATAAAATTGGATTCGGAAACAGAGTTAGTAAAAGATTGTATGATTAAATGGGCTCAGAATATCCAGGAACCGATCTTATTGGATCAGTGGGAGAATATTTGGATTAGAAATGTTAAATTTACACAGGCCCAAAATCTGAGAGAAAATTTTTATAAAATGTTTTATAGGTGGCATTTGGATCCCAAAAAATTGGCTTGTATGTATCCTAACTTACAGCCCAAATGTTGGAGGTGTGGTAGTCCTGATGCAACTTACTTTCATGTTTGGTGGACCTGTAAGAAGGTTAAAGCTTTCTGGATAATGATTTGGTGGAACATTCAAAAGATTTTTAAAAAGAAGATAAAGTTTACTCCTCAACTATTTTTATTGGGTATTTTTATGGATTTAGATATTAATGAAACTATTTTAATGTTGAATTTAATAACTACAGCAAGATTACTTGTAGGTTTATATTGGAAGAAGGATTCGCTGCCTACCTTAGAAGAATGGACACTTAAGGTTTCTACTTCAGCGGAAATGGCAAAAATTTCTGCTTATTTAAAGGACCATACACAAGAAAAAATTATTATAGTGTGGAGAAGGTGGATAGATTATATTCAGAATAAATATGGAACTTTAAAGTTCCATTTATTTTATGATTAATTTTTTCTTGAGGTTATAATTACTATTTATAGATTTTTATAATATTTGATTTATAGTAGATTTGTTTATGTTATTATTATTATTATTATTATTAAAGTTTAGAGAGAGTTAATGGTAATGTATGAATTTGTTTATTGTATAGAAATTTGTTGTTGTTTTATTGTGTTTGTTTTGTTTATAATAACCCTGTATTTTGCTCTGGGAAGTGGAGGGGGGTAGGGGGGTAGGGGTGGGGTGGGATTAAGTATATATAGAAATATTAAAGTATGAAATAGATGGAGTAATTTAGAGGGAGGTGCTGCTCGGGTGTTCCCCCTGAACTGTATCCGAAGAGGGATAAGAGGGGAGGAGGAGGAAAGGAAGGAAGTTGGATGGGAGGAAGGGGTGAGGGGAGAGAGGAGAGAGGGAGTAGGGAAGTAAGGAAGGAAGGTTGAGAGGGCAGATGCAGTCGGGGAGAGATAGACGAGCGACACCTAAGGTCTTATTTTAAAGGTATTTTTCTCTTTTTTTTTAGTTTTATATATAATATATGGAAAGTATTATATGTATTGAAAATTCAAATAAAAAATTTTAAAAATAAAAAAAATACTGGTACTGCTCTCTCTTAAAAGTGAATATTTGACTATTTGGCACATAATTTAATTTTATTTAAGAAAATGCTATTATATAATCCATGAGAACCAGTTGGTATAATGGTTAAGGTGCCTGGCTAGAACCTAGTTCTAATTCCACCTTAGCACACAGCCAGCTGGGTGACCTTGGGCAGTCTGACGTTTCCAGGAGTAAAGACTAATTTGAAAGCATCCCCCCCCCCCCCCGAAAAATTCCCTGATAGCCCATATATAGAAATGATGTATTTATTTCTGCATGTTGCAATGAGACTTGATCTTCTGTTTTTTTAAGTCAACAGGCATCTCCATGCCACATGACAAACCTTTTGCACTTAAATGGATTTTTAAAATTAAATTCTAATATCTCAGGGTAGTTGAGGGTAGAAGAAAAGGATTCCATTTTGAAGGAAAGAAAAAAAATCTTTCAAGTATATTCAAGTTGTTGCACAAATTTCATGCAGTTACAAATAAAGAATGTATATGTCATCTTCTAGGATAAAATGGACCAACTGTTGCAAATGTTGCAAAGTGCAGATCCAACAGATGACCAGCCGGACCTTCCAGAGCTTGTCCATCTTGAAAGTAGGCTTCCTTTCCGTCATGTTACATATAACATTACACAACAGACTTCCTCCCTAAAAACCTTTTCAAAAACTGAGCTATCCTTACCATTTCTGCAAAACTAGTTTTCTTTAACTGTCTTAAATCTTTTTATTTGTTTATTAATTCAGTGAAGGAAACAATGCTTAGCTCTGTTGTCTAATAACACCATAGCACTTGTTATTTGTTTAGAGATGTTATAGAATAAGGAATCTGGAAGTAATACAATGTTAACGTTTGTAACAGTTGGAGCAAATAAAGCATATTAATATCTCTATTTCTAGCAATGTGCCATCAAATGGGACCTCTCATTGATGAAAAGCTAGAAGATATTGACCGGTAAGAATAGCAGTAAGCTTAGTATCTTACAGTAGGGATTGGCAGCCTTTTTTATGCCAAAGTCAGCACATAACATTGGAGGGGAACAGGGAAAACTACGAAGTTTTGAGACTATATCACAGCCATGGGCAACACTGGCTTTGAGAGAAATTTTTGGCAGGTTTATAACTAGTTGGCCTATTTTAGAGTTATACCACTGTTTACATTTCTACACAGTTTTTAAAAAAGTGATATGTGTTAATGTTATTTAGTTTTAATAGTAGCCATTATTGTTTTCATTTTCCCATTTGAGAAGGCATACAGTTGGTTCCTTATCTGCAGTTACTTGAGATTCAGGCCACATAGTCACTACTTTTCTTTTTTTTTTAGGTATTTTTATCCTGTAATCATTTCCTTGCAATTTTTTTCTTCTTTACAAAGGCTGGTAGGTTTTTTTTTTTTTTGCTATTAGGAAGCAAAAGGGTTACATCTGCTGTAAACTCTATGTGGCTTCAGGAAGGGCATCCGGCCAATAATGCTCAGTTCCATCCAGGTGCCCCCACTCTACCCCGAATTAAGAGATTACAGTGTCATAAAAAAGGAGTTAGGAAGCAAGATGTTCTTCTGTAAAAGTCTATTTCTAGTAGCTTTGTGCTTCTACTTTTGACTTGCAGTGGAATGATTTTTATTTCTTATTAACCACTAAACTGTTACAAATAACTCATGATGAAATCTTGTATTTAAAAAATATTACTTATTTTTATTTGTTTCACCCAGGAAGCACTCAGAACTTTCGGAGCTCAATGTAAAAGTGATGGAAGCCCTTTCACTATATACTAAGTTGATGAATGAAGATCCAATGTACTCAATGTATTCAAAATTACAAAATCCTCAATACTACATGACTCAATCTAATGTTTCTAACTCTCAGGTATGCACTTGAATGTTTTAAAAACCTGTAGAGATAATGTCCCATTTTAAGCCAAATCGTTACAAAGTTATTAATATATACAGTGGGGCAAAAAAAGTATTTAGTCAGCCACCAATTGTGCAAGTTCTCCCACTTAAAAAGATGAGAGAGGCCTGTAATTGTCATCATAGGTAGACCTCAACTATGAGAGACAAAATGAGAAAACAAATCCAGACAATCACATTGTCTGATTTGGAAAGAATTTATTTGCAAATTATGGTGGAAAATAAGTATTTGGTCAATATCAAAAGTTCATCTTACGAAGCCACTCCTTCGTTGCCTGGGCGGTGTGTTTGGGATCATTGTCATGCTGAAAGACCCAGCCACGTTTCATCTTCAATGCCTTTGCTGATGGAAGGAGGTTTGGACTCAAAATCTCACGATACATGGCCCCATTCATTCTTTCCTGTACACGGATCAGTCGTCCTGGTCCCTTTGCAGAGAAACAGCCCCAAAGCATGATGTTGCCACCCCCATGCTTCACAGTAGGTACAGTGTTCTTTGGATGCAACTCAGCATTCTCTCTCCTCCAATCATGATGAGTTATGTTTCTACCAAACAGTTTTACTTTGGTTTCATCTGACCATAGGATATTCTCCCAATCCTCTTCTGGATCATCCAAATGCTCTTTATCAAACTTCAGACGGGCCTGGACATGTACTGGCTTAAGCAGGGGGACATGTCTGGCACTGCAGGATCTGAGTCCCTGGCGGCGTAGTGTGTTACTGATGGTTGCCTTTGTTACGTTGGTCCCAGCTCTCTGCAGGTCATTCACTAGGTCCCCCCATGTGATTCTGGGATTTTTGCTCACCGTTCTTGTGATCATGTTGACCCCATGGGGTGAGATCTTGCATGGAGCCCCAGATCGAGGGAGATTATCAGTGGTCTTGTATGTCTTCCATTTTCTAATTATTGCTCCCACAGTTGATTTCTTCACACCAAGCTGCTTGCCTATTGCAGATTCAGTCTTCCCAGCCTGATGCAGGTCTATAATTTTGTTTCTGGTGTCCTTCGACAGCTCTTTGGTCTTCACCATAGTGGAATTTGGAGTGTGACTGTTTGAGGTTGTGGACAGGTGTCTTTTATACTGATAACAAGTTCAAACAGGTGCCATTAATAGAGATAATGAGTGGAGGACAGAGGAGCCTCTTAAAGAAGAAGTTACAGGTCTGTGAGAGCCAGAAATCTTGCTTGTTGTAGGTGACCAAATACTTATTTTCCACCATAATTTGCAAATAAAGTATTTCCAAATCAGACAATGTGGATTTGTTTTCTCATTTTGTCTCTCATAGTTGAGGTCTACCTATGATGACAATTACAGGCCTCTCATCTTTTTAAGTGGGAGAACTTGCACAATTGGTGGCTGACTAAATACTTTTTTGCCCCACTATATTAGTCATAAATGATCAGTGCTATTCAGAATGTGGGAGGTTTGTGTTGTACATTTTTTTGAAAATTATGGGGGCAGTATTAATGTGATATACCGTAAATGCCGGCGTATAAGGCGACTTCCGCGAGCGCTGAAATCGGCGCCAAAGACGGGGGTCGTCTTATACGCCGAGTCGTCTTATACGCCGGAAACACTGGTAGTTTCTGGCATATAAGACGACGTTCTAGGAATGCGGCCCGGCTATAAAGACGGGGGTCGTCTTATACGCCGGGTCGCCTTGTACGCCGGCATTTACGGTATATCATAATAAAATATATCATCTATATCATCTGCCCAGAGTTATGAAGTCAAATTTATTATACCCCAATTCTACTACATAGAACCAAAATACATAGTAAATTACATTCATCTTGGAAAGAAATGATTGCTTGATGGATTTATTATGTACCATCCAGTTGGTGTTGTTTGGTAATGACCACTTAGAGATTTTTTACATGACAATCTATCCCTTACTTAGTCCTTCAGGTGTTTCAGTAGTGCACTGACCAACCCTGTAACTGAGTCCATATGGAGAGTAATGACTTCACGTTTAAGGATTAGTAAAAGATGGGGCTCTAATGTACTGTTATATAATAGACATTATGAAAATATGTTAGTGAACCTGGATTCCTTTTCTTAAGCTGCAAGTAAATATTGCTAGTCTTTTGTTTGGGGGGAGGGGGATTAAACCAACTGACATTGTTGTAATTTGTTTCTGCCTATTTGATGTTTTTTAGGTTTATCCAGGACAACCTCAGAGCAATACTTATTTGGTGGGAGGAAATACACAGATGAGTCACGTGCAAGGCTACAGCCTTCCATCAGATCAACTTCCATCTCTTAATCAAGGCACAGTTCCTCCAGTAGCAAGTTCTGGGTTAGCTAGCCAGCCAGTCCAGGCAACTTACACAAAGTAATTGAAAAAAAATAAATATCTACGTTTTAAACTAAACTAGCCAGTTTTAAAGTGAAAATTAACAGAAACTTTCAGCATCAAATTGTCTTGAATTACTCATCTCTGTAATCTTTTTAGTGTGTTTGATTTGTTCTTCACTTTAAAAGAACATGGATAAAATCTGAATGAAAACACTAATTGAAATAAAGTTCCATAAATTAGTTTTATTGTTTAGGATTATTGAGGAATGAGTTTTATTTTGAGTGTTAATTTAATAACAGATTTTTAAGATGGTTTGAAAGACTATTTTGGGAGGAAAAACCATAACATTCCTGTTTGTGATAGTTAAAAGATTGCAGACATCTTAGAAACAATATGTATCTTTTTAGATTTCCTTTTCGTACCCGAAGTACTTCTTTGTGGTAAAAGTGGTTTTTTTGAAGTTAAATTACAGGTTTCATATCTTGAGAAGCTCTTCCAAGACAAGAAATTGAATGGATGTGAATAAGATTTCTAAAAATTTGATATGTCCACCAGTGGTATTTAGTAGTAATTCTTATTGAATATTAATAAATCATGTCACATAACGTAACTAGCTGAAGGATCAGTTTGGATTTTCTCTTAAATTGAATTATATTTCAAGCATAAAAGCAGTGAAAGAAAAGTTAAGAAAAGGCTGCAGTTTAGAAAATAGAAGAACACCAAAAGACAAATGTGCTAGTTTATCCCAGCCGAAATAGGTACAGTTAAAAGATTATTCATGTAAACCAAGAAGTTGAAACACTTCTGTGTTCACGGAATCATCCCCTGAAGAAACTGGTTTAAAAGATGGGGCTGGAAAGATTTGACTGAAAGGTTTCATATTTCTACTTCAAGTACTTTGTTTTAACTATTTCTTCACTGAGATTGGAAGAGAAGCTCACATTTGTTTTGTGTATGTGTTTATAGGAGAATTTGATTACTTTTGTGAACCTTGTTATGTATCCTTTTGTTTATCTTCTTTCCCTTCTTATCTCTATTTCTAGCACGATGGTTGGTTCTGTTCCAGGAAACACTTACTCCAGCCAAGCTGCAGTCTATAGCCCATCCCCCGCTGCTTCTACTGACACTACTTCTTATCAGAATTCTGGAACTCTGTCTCAGGTGCCAGGTTATAATTTAGTCACCTCAACTCTTCCCCAGCCTCCAGGAAACCAACCACCACCACCACCACCACCACCACCACCACCACAGCCTCCATCATCACAGAAGGCATTATTATAGGGCGTAGGACTTTGGATTCCTAATCTAATCTAACCTTTGTTGAAGGCAGTTTACAAAGTTATGAGTTTATTTCTTTAATATCTTAAACATGGGTTATCCTTGGCTTAATAAGAATCTCTTGGTGAAGAATTCTATTTGCACTGACTTTTTAAGATTTTTCTTTTACCTTTGGAAAAGGAATTAAAATATTGAGAATATTTAATTCCTTTAAAATGCCTAAACATTGGTACAAAGTTATTTATGTCTGCTGAAACTGTTGAGTTTGTGAAGATCCAACTCAACAAATTATTGTGGCATATATGTAATGTACATATAATATGTTGTGTTAGTGATTGTTCTGAATTACTATAGTGATCATGTGAACATATAATGTGTTAAAATTTACATTAATGTTTTATTAATCATGAAACATGGTCATAGATGGACCATGTTCATGGATTTTATAAGAATGTTTGCTTTAACCCCTATATGTCAAATATTTACAGATTGTGGATATGTTATTGAACCTGAACTGCTTGGTTTTCATTAATAATACACTGAATGCAGTTGTGTTGTTTTCTGCCTTCCTGTAGCCTGTGGATGCTATGAAATGACTATCTACCAAAGTAGGCTAGAACTTCAGACACTCTTCATTCAGAAAATGTTTTATGCTTATCAGTAATGGTTTCAAAACAATAAGTGGCAGGCTGCTAAATTTATGGAACCATGAAACAAAACTGTTTTATCTTTACTGTTTAAATGATAAGACTTACATTTCCATGCTAGTTTTATGTAACATGCTGAGTGGGACACTTTGGATGTGAATGAATGACATTTTTAAACTAGAACAATGAAAACACTACATTTATTAAAGTCTTGTTAAAGACTGCCATAATTGCCACTTTCCTTGACTGTGTGTTTTGTAAAAACACTCTTTTTTATGGTCTTTGTTGAACTGTTCTTTGTAGTCCTTATACAATACAGAGCAATTTCAACTATCAATTTCATAGACAGAGAAATGCCTCCAAGATCAGCTTTTATTAAGGAATGAAATAATTTAACTACTCATGGCTCAAGCTATATGAATATAGTCCTGAAATTTATTACCTGACTCAGCAATAGAGTCATACATGAATGAATATAGTTAATGACACTAGTTTATTGTTGGTTTCTCTGGCAAATACTCTTCTGAATTGAAAATTGCTTCTAAAAATACATGTTTTTGGATTCGTTCTTTGGTTATGGTGTGTAGTTTTAGATATTTATTTATTTAGTTCATTTTTAAAGAGGGTGCTAAAAGAATTCCAGTTATGTTTACACACTTTTCAAACCATTTCTTTAAGCTTCTAGAGCTACAGCCATCTACATTTTAGATATAGTTAGAAGGTTAAACACAGGAAACTCATTCGTTGCTTTCCAGTAGCAAAACATGTAGGGAAGCCAATATTTGGAATGATTTTGATTAAAATAGAAACTTTCCTATTTAATCAGTTTCCTGCTCAGAGACCAATCCGCTCAACTGTCCTTATAACAGCTATCCTTATTAAAAATGACCACTACTTACTTGGGGTGCTCATAGGGACTGAAAATAAATCAAAATATACATATTTTATTTATTCAGCCTCAGCTTTGCTAAGGCTACAATCCTAAATGTACTTACCTGGAGGTAAAGCCCATTCATTTCAAACAGCTTTACATTTGAGCGCATACTCATGAAAACATTGCATTTTTCAAAACATGGACTTGTTACATGTACCTTTATCAATACATACTTAACAAATATCATTAGAATATATGAGTACCAATTAGGATTAGGAACTGTTGCTTTCTTCATTTTGATTATGACCCTTAAGTACTATTTTTATTTGATATCTATATAATTATTATCATGGAATCTTATTTGCTGTTTTGTTGCCTATCAACCTAATTTTGAAGGATTTACGGGGCACTGAGTTAAAAATATTTCAGTGTATCCTATTTGCAAGCTAATGCATATTATCTATATGAATAAGTAGCACAGGTTTTATTACATATCCTTGTGAAGAATCTCACTTCCTTCCATTGTGAAAGTTTCCTATGTATTCCTGCTCTGTATTTCCTGTTCTTTCACCAGTTGCTAATCTATAACCTTCTGGTTACTCCAGATAAAGCTCTGAAACTTTTGCTGGATTGAATTTGTCAACAACCTTAACATAGCTTTTAGCAGAAAAACAGATAAGAAAAATTAATGAATATTTAATCTGAGAACAGAGATATGAAGATAAGTAATTCAATCATACAAATTTCTATAATCTTTAAATATTCATTTGAACTATGTATAGTAATTTATTTACATGGCCTCAGGTTTTTGGAATAGTACATTGAAAATGTTACTTAAGGATAATTGGAAGAATACAAAATTAAAAGAGATATAATTCATTGATAGAATAAACATTAAGTTAGGCTCATTTTTCCTCTCAAAGGAGCTCCAGGGTTTAATTAAACATTGTACCTAAACTATTGCTAGTTGGACAACTTCACCTTTTCCCAAACTGGCGTTCACTCTAAAAAAGTATATTTTCAACACATGAGGTTTGGGAAATGGTGGAATAGACAACAGTATATAATGTTATTTTCAAATTGCACACAGACTAAAAAAATCAAACCTGAAAAGTATAATATTGTAATACTTTTTTATTTCTATTTATTGATTTTAAAATTACAAAATTGGCAAAATACCCACCCCAATTTAATTGAAAAAGAGAAGTTGAACATGAATCTGTGTGTCCCCATAGCTTGTGACAACTGATCCTACTTGCCAGAATAATTTCAGTGGAGCATGCAAATAAAGTAAAAATTTCCATGAAAGAAAATTAAGTTCTCGTGTGTATTCACCTTTTAATTCTCCCCATGGGTAAAAACTGAACTGGATAATTTACCATATATAATTCTATGATTTTTTTTTCATTATTTTGTTGTGTGTTTTCAGAGCTTCTTGGGATCCTTATGATGTTTAAAAGGAATCTGTATAAAAAATAATATCAGAGCCCAGTGCTTTTCTTTATGAAATATGAAGTATTCAATATACTATTTGTCAGCATAAAAAGTACTTATGCTAAGTAACTGGTTGTATCATCTTGGCCACAATAGTTTTCGATCCTTGAACTGGTATGTAGAATTTTAGCCAATTCCTCCATTGTGAATTGATTCAGCTCAGTAATATTGCAGTGGCATAACCTGAAACCAGTAGTTAATGCAAGAAAGCCCTCAAGTATTCAATAATTGGGCTTATACTTTTTGACAGAACGTTGTTTATTTTACAAATAAATGAAAGACAAATGTAATATGAAACTGCAAATTACTTCACTAACATTTAATTCATAAACATCTAGGTTTTAGTTATCTTAAATGTAGTGTTTTGTCTTCCCATGCCTCTATTCTGTTCTTCATTTGGTCTTTCTTGTAGGCCCGTTTGTTCTCTCCAGTAGTCAGTAAGCCTTCCTGATATACTAATTTCAGTGCATCTTCATCGCTGTTCTTCAGATATTCTTCCAAAGCCATTTTTTCTTCTTCAACCATCTGATGTACTTGTAGCATTCCACGCCCACCTATTTGCCTTGGTAGATAAAATCTATCAATGTCACTGCGTGGATGAAGGGCATGATTCATTGTCATTATTTTTCTGGTCTTCCTATCCATTGCTTTTAGTTCTGCTTGAGTCCAGTCCACTATTCCAGCTGTGTACCTAATGACTGGAATTGCCCAGGTGTTGATTGCCTTTATGGTATTTCCTCCATTGAGTTTGGACTTTAAGATCTTCTTCACTCTCTTGATGTATTCACCTCTAATCTTTTTCTTGACTTCAGTGTGCTTGATGTTGTCAGCTTGAAGGATACCCAAGTATTTGTAGTAATCTTCCTCATCCAGACTCTTAATGTTATTTTCATGGGACATCTTGATTCCTTCAGTTTTCACTACTTTTCCGTGTTTGATAGTAAGTGTGGCACATTTGTCCAAGCCAAACTCCATTACAATATCTTGGCTATATATACGGACAGTGTTGAGCAGAGATTCTATTTCAGATGATGTTTTTCCATACAGCTTCAGATCATCCATGTAAAGGAGATGGGATAGTCTGGTAGATGTTTTTGATGTTTGATAGCCATGTCCTTAGTTGTTGTTGTTGTTGTTGTTGTTGTTGTTGTTGTTGTTCTTCTTCTTCTTCTTCTTCTTCTTCTTCTTCTTCTTCTTCTTCTTCTTCTTCTTCTTCTTCTTCTTCTTCTTCTTCTTCTTCTTCTTCTTCTTCTTCTTCTTCTTCTTCTTCTTCTTCTTCATCATCATTATTATTTAGTGCTGGGATCCTAGATTAGCTCATTGTCATTGTCAATGTGTGTCTCACAATTTTTTTTCCCAACATCTTTTTGGAAAAGATCTACTTCTTCACCAATATAATTAACTAGATTATATAATTCAGTTACAGTTGTTTGAAAGAATAAGAACAATTGGGTATTTCTATTACTGATTTGGTTTTTACTATATTTCTTTGCTGGAGTATATCCTGCACATTAAGGAACAGGACAGTCCTGCTGCCGTGTAAATTCATAATTATTTGTTTACATATGTAGACTTCAAAGACTCTATTAAGAAGTAATGAAGATTGATTTCCTGTAACTACTTCAGAAAGCTATCTGAAATTACCTAGGCAAAATCATTTATCTTTTCATTCTATGCTAAGATGATTCTATGATACTTGACAATGGATTTGAATGGTCTTTTCAAGATACAATCTGGAAAAGATAGGAGAGTATAAATAAGACAGGGACACCTTTATAACTCAAAATACAGCAATTAGTCATAAATATATTCATTTTTATAAATACAATATTGAAATCCATATTTTCCTAAATCTAGTCCTAAAAAAAGAGCTTTGGATTCCTAAGAGTAATATTTCTCAACCTCAGAAACTTTAAGATGTATGAACTTCAACTCCCAGAATTCCTCAACTCCTGTTCTAGATGAAGGGAGAAAGTGAGATCATATGTTGGAAAATAAATTATAGTATTCCTGAATCAATTATTACATGAAATAAGATTGTACAGTCCTGATTAATGGGAAAGCATTATGTGGTGCTTTGGGTCACATTTAAAAAAAATGCTTCAAAACACAATGATGCAAAAAGCATCTGTTTGGCACCTTTTAAAGTAGCCTCATATTGTTCTGAAATACGTATCTCCGGGTAGATACAACAGCCATAAAAAGTTCCTTTTTGGAATTAAATTTACAAATTACATTTTTATTTATAACACTTTCATTATTTATTTTGTTACTGTTTATGCTATAAAATATTAAACTTTAGATATTTCTTTCGTATATAGTATAAAATGCTTCTATCTGGCTAAGAACTTTTGAAAAAAACTTCATAGATTGTTTCTTCTCATTCAAAACGAGGATATTGCTAAAAAGTAATAAACATAAAATTTATTAACATGACCCCAAATTTAGAGATGATCGGAAGTATGTTTTGAGGCATCAGAAAAAAGACATTGCATCAGGACATGAGCAAGAGTTTTCCTGGTTCTACAAGGTCAAAGTCTCTGCAAATAAGGAATCCCATAAAATCTTCATGCCAGCAGTGCTAAAGAGAGGCATCACAGTGGGCTCTGGAAATGGTCCATCTATATTTGCTTAGGGTTAGAGTGTATAGATAGTCTGTAGTAAAAGACTTGCAGCTATCTAACATTTAGCAATAGAATGCAGGAGCTCTGGAGTATCTGGACAATCAATGTCCCTAATTCTTTTATTATTCATTTGGGCTTTTCTAATTGATCTAAATATTCAGGTGAAACTACAGATTAGATTTGTAGCTGTCGGGTGACAACAGAGGCATCAGGCCTCTAGGACAAATGTGATTTTATGTCCTAAGAT